CCGAAGACAGGAGCGCTCACTTGCCATCATCTGAGCAGCACGTAAAGGAAGAAAGTCAATGGGCCACAAAGACAAGGGCTGTGCAGGGCCGGGACACCTCTTCCTGGAAGAGCAACCGCTGCCAGCCGAGAAAAGACAAAAAGAATTAGTGATGGGACAGATCCAGACCTCATTAAACAAGTCAGTGCGCATCAGTGTCTTAGCCTCTCCTCCCACCCCGAACCACAAAGCACCTCTCAGATCTACTGGAAGATACTTCCAGCCTTTCCTAGACATCCTCAAGGCTTCCCAAAAGTATTTCTTTTCTAACTTGGGAGAAAAGGTTGAATCTTAGATACTTTTGCAATCCAACCCTCCTTTCTTCCCCAGAAGATTCAACTTGAGTCAAACAAAAGGCTCTGCTTGTGTTTTGGTTACAGCTTGGCCACCCTAGGCTGAAACAGACCTTTAACTGCATCTGAAATTTTGACATTTTTAGGGTGTTCTGACTTTTTTGATGTTTTGTTTCCCCCATCACCTTTGGGGTCAAGAAAATTGCTGGAAGTGACCCTTCCTCCACAGCTTCCATACTTAGGGATTCCAGGAAATGAAATATCGCAACCTTTAGCTGCTTGGGGATGCCACCCTCAACCCAACATACTGGTGCAGACTTCAGCTTGCTGGTGTCGGCAGCACAATCCCTACAGGATCTGGTTGTTCCTCTGAGCTCTTGCTAACTCATGCCGGTAAAGAACAAGTTCAAGAGTCTGACAGCTGCTCTGCTGACTTCTGCTGATGAAGTCAACCATCTTGTTGAGTCCCACCAACACGTCACTGTGCTCTGAAATTAGCTGTGCATCCCTAGCACATGCGCTCGTATGTGCACTCCCACTGATTCATTTTCCTCTGAGGCATGCACACTCTCACCCTTATTCGGTCCAATTGGCTTCCTTGGACAGTCCCCCTTTTTCAGAGTGACGTCATCAATGGCAATGTCCCCCTCGTAGCTCGTGCCCCGGACACCTTCAAAGATGATCTGCAAGCAGAGCATGGGACAGAGCCCAGCGTGAGGCTGCAGTTGTGGAGGACCCTTCCCCTGCTGCGGGGCTCTACAGGGGTGAGCAGGGCACAGACCAGATCTTATCAGGTCCCCAAGTGAATGATTCCTTCCTGTGTCTCCAGTACTCGTAGGGTCTGGAGAGCCCGACCCCACTGCTTATGGGACCAAGCCCTGTGTGCTGAGCATCTGTATAATAATAAATGAGCATGTAGACCTCTGCTTTAGTAAGTGTGCTGCACTAACAAACCAACCAATACTGAACTGCACTCAAAGGAGTAACTAAATTCTTATTTATTATTTTAAAGTGTGCAAAAGCACGCTGGGCATTTTGCCACAGTGCCACAACTTACCAGCCTGCGCAGACCCAGCTTTCATAAACAACCCTACAACGGCAAAGTAGCACATTGGGCGAAAACATCAGCAATAAAACATTCAGTAACAAAGCAGCCCACTTCGTAGGTATGCATAAATGACTCGATGAGCAGATACAGAGCGTCCAGTTCATATTCACAAGCTCTCCTGCAGTCCTAAACCAGGGGGACAGTGGGGATGGACTCTTACAGCACATGCTAGAAGAAATCTCTAGCATTCAAAGTCATTTTACACCAACAGGCCAGCATCCTCCAGCTGCTCAACACCAAGGGATCTATCACGCAGACCTGGTGCCAGAAGGAGCTCTTTGACAAGCAGTTTCCAGACCAGCAATGATCAGAAATTTATAGTGCCAAACTGATGCTTGCACAACGTTGGATGACTTCAGAGAGAAGTGAATTTGATTTCTGTGCATCCACCAAGCTCTTGCCTTGCCCCAGTGCCCCTGGGAGTGGAGAGTTCCCAGTGCCCTCCCAGTGCTCTCCCAGTCCCTGTGCCACGGAGGCAGATGTCTGCTGAGAAGTCTCCTACAGCCCATGGCACATGGACAGGACAGGTGGCTGCGGACCTAACTTACCTGGAAGGGCCCAGGCGGGTTGATGGGCACGTGTGCTTGCTGCCACATATTGCCCCGGTTCCCACTGAGTGACCAGACCTGGGTGTCGATGGCTCGCTTGTTCCGCACACGAACTAGCAGGTTCAAGGAGCCTGTAAGAGAGAAACCGGTCGCTGGTGTGCCGGGGCAGGCAGGCAGCACTGCCTGGTGGGCTAGCCCCTGCCGTAGCTCTGGGGCTTAGCCTCGAGCCACAGCTGTATGCCCCAGTGGTAACATCTGGATGGAGACAGCTTTCTCCTGGGTTGATGGGCAAGTGCCACTGGCACTGTTTCATCCATCTGGGCTATCCAAGGGAGGACACAGACCCAGATGAAGACAGAGAGGACAGGATGAGGAAGAAGCAGTCTGTAGCATGGCTGGGGTGCCACAAGAAGGACGTGGCAGAAACGCTAGCTGCAATGGACCTCCAGAAGCAACCCATCCAACCTCCTGCTTGAAGCTGTCTCCAGCTCTACAAGAGGGCAGCATGGCTTTGCCTGGCCAAGTCTTGAAATCCCCTGAGGAAATCAACTTTTCTTAATGTCCAATATGAACCTCCAGAGCTACCAGTTGTGTCCACTGTTCTCTATTGCATTGTCTAATAGTGCTGATAAGATTTTGGCTCTGTTATGTTTGAAATCACCCTTCAAACTGTTGGGGACCAAGGGCTGATAGCAGACTCCTCTTTGCCAGACTGAGCAAGTCCAGTTCCCTCAACCTCTCTTCTCCAGGGCTTCTGCTTCTGGCCCTTGACCATCCTGATGCCCCTTCGTTGGACCCGCACCCGTTTCTCTACATTCCACTTGAACTGGGGAGCCCAGAACGCATGTTTGCCTCTCCCGGTTCACCACTAACATCTGACATATGCTATGCAGTTTACAGCCCTCTCCTTGCCCTGGCCCTAGCCATCAGCTGCAGAAATACAACTGGTGTCCTCACACACCCCTTGCCCTGGAAGCAGCCTTGGAGCGAGCAGCCGTTCTTTGCTAGCGCTGGGCGGCACCACCTGTACCACACTGCCTGTAGCATCCCAGCCCCGCATTTTTAGAGGGACACAAAGACCCTGTGAATCAACACCGACTTCCAAGTTCTTTCAAACAAAGCAATTCCCAAAAGGTTTCATCTGACATTAAACCAAAACCAAAGCCAGCAAATCTCAAAGCATTTCCAGTTCTCACTTTGAAAACAGTGTCACAGCACCCTACCCTCCACCCACAAATGAAACCATCTCAGTTTGTCTTCCCGCAGCATCCTTTTAGTAATCCCCTTAGCTGACATTTTTTCCATTTTTGTTTCGTGAAAAAACAGTTTTAAACATTCACTCAGAGTTGACCTGAAACACTTTTTCTCTCTTTTTTTTTTTTTTTTTTTTTTTTAACAATTCAGCTGGTGAACCAAAAAATCAATCACAACTCTAGTCATGCTGTTGCTCATCAGTGTTTCTGGTGTCCATACACTGACATATTACACCTGAGAGCAGAGAGGCAATAATAACCCTTACTTATACGTCCGTTGTCTGTCTGTGCTTGGGATGCTGCCTTCCCACCTGGGAACACCCTTCTGAGAGGCAGCAGTGAGAGATCAGGGGAAGAGACAGGGAAAAAAAAAATATAACCTCCCTCCTACATGATCCCCTGAAATTCTTCATTCTTGGCACATCAGCCTTGGGCCACTGCATGAAGGACAGGGACCTGGAAGTAGCCTCGTCAAGCTCCTGGCTGTCAGAAAGAGAGTGATACATCACAGGGAGTTCAGAGATGCATAATAAAGATGATGAAATGTTTAGATTCTGAGTGGCTGACTTACAAGAAAAGGTTAAAAGAATGAAATATGTATATAATTTAGTGAACTGAGGAAAGAGGGGCATGTTATTGACTGGAAATATTCAGAAGCGTTACCACTAAGGCTAGCTGAGAAAACTAGATGAAGGCCTGACAGGACAGGGAGAACGTATGCAATTCCCTTCCCCAGTGGTACCCAGTTTGGGATGCATGCCACAGGCTAAGCTAAGGAGTGAAATAACTTGTTTTGTCTTGAGACCAGCTGGCACTGCACAACCATGGGGATATAGAGGTAAGAGAGTGCAATCTCCCTCCCAGAAACACGATGCCAAGGATGAGAAAAATCAGTGTGGGAGCCTCTGGCAAAACCAGCTTTGAGCTCCTGGTTTCTTGGTGTCCTCCCTGCCCTCAGGAGCTTCCAATGAGGGAAAGTCTCTCTACGAAGGATACCTAGTCCTCACAGAGGCCCCTGGCCAAACTGATGGCCCATGCAGGAACTACATAACCCCATAGATCAACGTCAACAGGAGTGTGTTCAGAGCAGCTAATTACAGACACCAGAGCCGGTGAGGTGAGGGACTGAGAGTGAACAAGGAATTAATATGAAGCTGCTAGCAAGCAAGGATTTAAAACAACCATTGTCTAGTCTACTCTCATTTGGGGACTTGCAGGTAGGATCTAGCCAGGCGAGAGCCTGGTTGAGTAGCCAGCACTGGGACAAATCAGGCAGCAAATGAACTTTGATGCCCTAGGAAAAAAGTGAAGGCAAGATAGAAAGAGACTCAGAGAAGCATCTGGAATGCAAATTACTGCCCCAAAGCACCAGCTGTGAATGCCTGGCCTAAATCCAAATCAAGCCTGAGCATAGGCTGACAGCTCCATGTCCTTGCAGCATCAGGAAAAGTTTCAACCTTTTGGCCCCCAAATTCCCTAACAGAACAATAATGAATACGAGCAAGCATTCTTCAAATGGTTTGCAATCAGAAAGGAAGCTCCCTTCCCTGCCCACAACATGCAGTATTTCACCACCCCTGTCTACACATGGAAAACTGAAGGTCAAAACAGATGAACAGCATGCCCGTGACTGTCTGACAAATCAGTCAGAGTTATGAAGGGGAGTCAGATCTCATAGCCCAACCTGCAATCCCTGCTAAGTTACAGACCCTCCCTGAGGCTGGGAAAGAGCCACACGACCTCTTTTTCCCAGTGATGCTGCCACTGGGAATGGGCTTCTGGGAGGCATGGCAGAGACTCCAAGACTTCGAACTAAACAGGGAGGAAGCCTCTAGCCCATCTGAACTGGGACCGTAGTGTTGTAGATGTTAAAGATTGTGCAGGTCTCCTACTTTATTCCCTTCTACCATGTGTCAGTCTGCCACAGGCTGCCAGTCAAGTTTAAGGGCATGTAGCCTGTGATGGAGGTACTTGGAAATTAAAGTATCAGATCTGAGCTCCAGGTAGAGCCATAAAACATTGCAGTCCTGGACTACAGAAAGCTCCAAGTCATCTTTCCTGTTGCTCAGAGCTTCTTTGTCTCCATTTTTCAGTTTGGCCCCAAAAGCCGACTGTGTAATGGAACAAGTGTTGCAGGACTTTGTGTTTTCCAAGGGAAAGCTTTCAGCTCACTGCCCTGAAATCAAACATTGTTCCAGGATCCCACTTACAGTCATGAAAATCCATAGATTCTCAGGCTAAAAAGGGAGGTAGAGCCTATGCAGATATTGACATTCGTAGCTCCTGACCTCCGATGAATTCACACCTGCCCATACCCAGCTCCATGCAATCTAGCAATACCCATCTCATGCCTTATTAACTACCTTCATTCCCTGTGTAGCTTTCAGCACGTCACACAAGTTCAGACCAAACCAGCCACCTGATGCTTGTAAGGTGCTCTCCTGGAGCACAGACTGTATTTCCACATCCCACTTTGCAGGAGGTGGCCAATGCACGGTCCACGCATGTGTGGGATGTGAGGAGCCCATTCACAGCTGTGAACTGACTTGCCACGTGATCCTTAGCAACCTGCTTTTACCTACTTTAATCTGCTGATGTGATATGATGATGATAATCAAGCAGGGTAATAATAACACTCACTTACTTCGCAAGGAACTCAGAAACACAGCAAACATTTACCGAGAGCTGAGCAAGAAGACACTAGGGAACAGAAGTCGCGGGGAACTCAGAAACACAGCAAACATTTAACGAGACCTGAGCAAGAAGACACTAGGGAACAGAAGTGACTGAGCTCTTCTGCTTTTCCAGTGGTCACAAACTGAAGAAGAACCAAAGTGGGACCTGCTCTCCAACCCCCATGCCTCCATCAGTGGAGATATGAGAGGCTCATCTGGGATGTTCTCCAGCACCAGGTGTGGCAACCACCCCTTTTGCCTGGTTTCATCCTACAATCATGCCTAGTTTCCAGTATCAGAGTCCAAATCCAGCTGGCCAGTTTTGTTACCTGTTTCTGTCCTTGTCACCCCTTCCCCATCTCCCCCATCAGATGTGTCTGGCATTTCCTAAGGGCATCGGCCGGTGAGGCACACACAAAGACAGGCTATCTATCTGCTGCTAAATCTCTCCGCTGACCAGAGACAGACAAACACAAAGGAAATCCCAGGACACCAGCAATCCTGTTGTTACCTCTCCCTGTACAAGGCAATCTTCGCATTTGTCTTGTAATCTGTATTATTCCTTCTTCCCAGTCAAAAGGGAGAATAAAGGCCGGTGACAAGTGACGAGGAATCAATTACAGGCAGAGTGAGCCCTACCTTCTGCTGGCTGCCTTTAAGGCCAGAGCTGGCATTTCAAAAGAGTGGCACTCACACAAAAGAGCACCAGCTGGGCTGCCAGATAGAGTAGCCCAAGGGATGCCTTTAAATGTTACCTTCTCACAGCAAGAAAAGGTCTCCTCTCAGTTTCCACAGGATGGGGACTTCACTGTCGCATTGAAAAGCAGCATAGATCCAGAAAAGCCCATGCAGGCAGCACTGGGAGTCAGGTCTGTAAGGGCAGGGCCATGGGCAGTCTGTGCAGGATGCCAGAGGAGGTAGAGGTTTCCTCAAGAGCCCCTCATGGGGCAGCTGGAGGGGTTAATGTGGGGTGATGGGGTGGGGAAAGGCTGAGGCACAACTCAGTTTATGTGACTCGGATGGAAGGCAGGCAGCTGGAGAAGCTAGGAAGCAAAGGGAGGACGATGCTGCACGCTGAGAGATGAGGTGCTGTGCCAAGTGCAGCAGAGCTCTGTGGGATGGGTAGGGAAAATCCACAGCCAGGAGCTAGGCTGCCTGCAGGCTCACGGATCCCTGCTGCAGCCCGTGGTAATCTCAGGACAT